ATAATGAAGAGGACAAGTCACTGATACAGAGCAATCTGTATTGCTTGGTAAGATGGGTGCAAGCAAACACTATGCATTTTAATATGGCCAAAAATAAAGTTAGACATCTAAGAACAAAGAATGGGGGACTATCCTGGGAAGCAGTGACTTTGAAAAAGACTTGGGGGGAGGGGGTCATGGTGGGTAATCAGCAGAACAAGAGCTACCAGTGTGATGCTATAGTGAAAAGGGCTAACTGGATCCATTAATGTAGGTAGGTTATATTACTTCTGTATTTGGCACTACTGTGACCACTACTGGAATACTTGGTTCAGTTCTGGCATCCACAATTTAACAAGAATGTTGATTAATTGGAGAGGGTTCAGAGAAGAGCCACAAGAATGATTAAGAAATTGAAAACATGCCTTATAGGCTACATCTACGCTATGAGATAGGGTGTGATTCCTCTGCTCATATACACCTAGAGTCATAGATCCATAGGTTCTAAGGCCAGAAGGGACGATTGTGGTCATCTAGTCTGACATCCTGTCAGAGAACTGCCCCAAAATAATGCCTAGAGCAGATCTTTTAGAAAAACAGCTGTCATAAATATAAAGGGAAGGGTAAATCCCTTTAAAATCCCTCCTGGCCAGAGGAAAAATCCTCTCACCTATAAAGGGTTAAGAAGCTAAAGGTAACCTCGCTGGCACCCGACCAAAATGACCAATGAGGAGACAAGACACTTTCAAAAGCTGGGGGGAGGGAGAGAAACAAAGGGTCTGTATCTGTCTGTATGCTGCTTTTGCCAGGGATAGAACAGGAATGGAGTCTTAGAACTTTTAGTACGTAATCTAGCTTGGTATGTGTTAGATTAGGATTTCTTTAAATGGCTGAGAAAGGAACTGTGCTGAATAGAATGACTATTCCTGTCTGTGTGTCTTTTTTGTAACTTAAGGTTTTGCCTAGAGGGATTCTCTATGTTTTGAATCTAATTACCCTGTAAGGTACCTACCATCCTGATTTTACAGAGGGGATTTCTTTACTTCTATTAAAAGTCTTCTTGTAAGAAAACTGAATGCTTTTTCATTGTTCTCAGATCCAAGGGTTTGGGTCCGTGGTCACCTATGCAAATTGGTAAGGACTTTTACCAAACCTTTCCCAGGAAGTGGGGTGCAAGGGTTGGGAGGATTTTGGGGGGAAAGACTTGTCCAAACTACGTTTCCCAGTAAACCCAGTTAGAGTTTGGTGGTGGCAGTGGAGATCCAGGGACAAAGGATAAAATTAATTTGTACCTTGGGGAAGTTTTAACCTAAGCTGGTGAAAGTAAGCTTAGGAGGTTTTCATGCAAGTCCCCACATTTGTACCCTAGAGTTCAGAGTGGGGGAGGAACCTTGACAACAGCCAATCTTGATTTAAAATTGTCGGTGATGGAGAATCCACGATGGCCCTTGGTAAGTTGTCCCAGTGGCTAATTAGTCTCACATAAAAATTGACATCTTATTACATCTGAATTTGTTTAGTTTCAACTTCCAGCCATTGAGTAATGTTACACCTTTCTCTGCTAGATTGAAGAACCCATTATCAAATATTTGTTCCCCATGTAGGTGCTTAGAGACTGTAACAAAGTCCTTACAATGAAGTCCCTTAACCTTCTCTTTGTTAAGCTAAATAGATGGAACTCCTTGAATCTATCACTATAAGTGTTGGGAATGGAAGGTGAGAAACGGAGTCACAAGTCCACTCAATTTAGGCTTACTCAATTTTCATTTATAAAATTCAGATAGAATTATTGCCACTTTCTGAACATGTATTTATGCCAGACAAACAGATCAGATGGAAGAGGTAGGGGCCCAAGTTGCTCAGCACTGGGGTTCTGGGAAGCTCTTCTGTACTTCATGATGATTGTCTCAGCCTCTGATTCCTGGTCTGGTCCTTCAGTCTCATTCCTTCAGTTTCTGGTCTGGTATTTCTCCAATTTGCCCTCCCCCCCCCCCCCTTTACTTGGCTTCTTATAAATTTCCACAATACAAAGTCTTTAACTTTTCTTCAATCAGCATTAAACATGCTCTTATGTAGCCCATACAACATGCATGCACAAGCTTCAATTTACGCAGCTTATGCTGTTTTCACTATTTGCATGTCCTTATGTTTTCATGTCTTCTTGTTCTCTCTCAGTAAAGGGACTTTTAACTAGTCTAAGAAATACACAAATATAAAGTTAACTTTTCTTTTGTCTAAAATTTGCAGCATAACAACAAAACATCACTGTCAGCAGTAAGCATTATCTACGCCAGTCCATATAAAAAAAATTGGCAAAACACCACCCAAGCCAAGGCCGTGGCATAAGCAATACCTCAAACATATTCACTATCCATAATTATAAACTATTAAAGTAACAAAGCCCTGATTATTACCATTTAGCAATTCTTCATCTTTATATTTCAATATCATAATTCAGTATACATATGTTATCCTAACCTGCCCCAGTGGATCATAACCTTGACATAGTAGAGCAGCTTGAGTGTTCCCATGATCCCAAGAGCAATGCCGTCAGGAGTCTTGCACTCCCTGTAGGGTCACCCAAGGAAGCAAAGTCAAAGGTGAGGTTCCAGACAAACAGCAATCCACCACACCCCACCCCAAAGTCCTCAGCAGCAGTGATTTCTCTCAATGGATGAAGGCTGCAGCAGGATGGCGTTCTCCAATCTTCTTGGTTCCTTTGCCATTGGATTAAGAGCTTCATCCTGTCAAGCACCATGTGGGCACTTGTGTGCAACGGTGTCTCCACATCAAAAGAATTCATGCACATATGTCCAAGTCTTGTGGCAATCGATGAGTGGTGACAGGCACAGGGCCATGATGACCGGACCAGCATTCGGGTGGCAGCTGTATATGGTTGTTTTTGCATTTGGACAGAGGCAGGACTGCAACTCAGTAACTGTGACTGAGCTGCCCTTTTTAGGACCTGCTCTGCTCACTCCACATGGGGAGGGGGCTAGAAAAGGTGCCCTGCAGATAGTCTTCCTCGCCTCCCCCCAACTGCATATCCACACCCAGAGGGATTGCCTTACTGCAGTTGGTACCCATCCACCTGCTTCTTAGAATGGACTTTTCTAAATGCAGCTTTGCCTAGAAATTTGGAAAGAACATATTAAAGGCAAAAATGGCCAGGACACAGGGAGAGTACCATGGTATTCACTCCATTTTTAATCCTTACCAGTGCTTTCTCATTGGTTTTCCCAATCTTTGGCCTTTTATACCTACCAAAGACTTTGGTACCAGTAGGTTTTGCTGCGCTTATATTCTTTTTGACAGCAGGGTGCCAGAACAAGGGAGGGCAGGGGGCCATGGCCCTCCCACTTTTTACCAGCCTTAAGGGCAAGCGACATGGGGAGGGGGTGGAGAGGAGCTAGTGGGGGTGGGGTCATGGCAGGGGAAGAGGCAGCGCAGAAGCAGGGCCTCGGGGGAAGAGGCAGCATGAAGGCGGGGACTTGGGGGTCAGTCATACTAGGAGAACATCAATGATCCTTCCATTGTCAGTGCTGATAGGTGAAGGGTCACTTACAGCATGGTTTTCTCTTCAACTGAGGTAGTTCATGCAGCAGTTCTTTCTTGACGTGGGTTCATGGGAAATGGCCATAGTTAAAGTCCTGATATCAGTGTATACAGAACATTATTAGGACTCCAAATTAATTTATCCCATTGAAAGTTAGTCTTACCTGCTAGCTTCTCAATTCAGACTCATGTCACCTAACATTTTAATGCACTTTTTAAGCACTACTGCCTCTCCATCTCCAATGTCACCTTCAAGACAGGAGGTTCGCGCGCGCTCTCTCTCATTAATTCCCCTGCACTAGGAAATTAAGCTAGTGTCTGATGGCTGGTGCTAGTGCATTTTGCTCTCGTGGATCCATGCAGTAGAAAGACCTGACAGTCAACTGATGCTTGAATCAAGTTGCCAACACAGTACTGAGTCAGTGCAAGTCTCTCTGGAGTTGCTGGATCCTGTGCCACTAATGTAGGCATAGTGAACACCCCCACCATCCTGCAATGGTGCTCCAGAAAAGGTATAAAGGGTGTTTCTTTTAAATCCATCCATCCAAGAACGGTAGTTTTCCAGTGTTTCTGCTTCATACTGGGGCTGATTGGAGAATGGCCGTCCTTTCCAAAGAAATATGCAGAAGGCATCTTCAGATGGAAAAAAGTGACATAAGCACCACTCAGATGTTGGAGATGTTGGGAGGAATGGGAATTTGAATAGTGGCCGTTGAGCCGAGACTCCATCTCACACAGCCCATCCCTGAGGGGCCATGCAAATGAAAACCAAGACGATACCACAGTGCAGGACAGCAAGTCGTTCTCTCTCTCTCACCCAACGCCACAATGAACTCATTTGTGCTACGTAGTGGGACAGGGCAATTGCACAGCTGTCGGACTCAACCAAACACAGGGCTGGCACTAACTGCATGGTTCTAGCGCCCTACCAACTCTTTCTCTGCACAGTCAGTGCCTGCTGCTTCTGCCATTCATATTCTTAGGAGACCATGAGCCCTAGAGCTTCTCTGACCTCACTGAACTAAATCATTCTGTCTCAGGACCACTCAGCACTTATGCCTCGAGGCATTTGTCCATTTTCCCATCTGGTCCCTGGCACTTCCCAAACATCAACGCTTTATTCGCACCCACCTCTGGTGGGGATTATTATGAAATCATGTCTATTTTACAGCCGGAGAACTCAGACACAGGGATTAAATGACTTGCCGAGGATCACACAGAGTCATTAGCAGAGCTCAGCTGAGAATTGAGCCCACAGCAGCTGTGTCCCAAGCCAAAGCCTTCACCCACAAGGCCAGCCCCCTTTACTGCCACATGTACTTTCCCTCAAGCGTTTTCTCTGCCCCATTTAAATGGCACAAGACAGCACTACATATTCCTGCCCTCACCACTGTGCTTTTGTCAACGTTGGACTATGTTAGAGGTAACTAAAAGCAGCCTCCGGTTGTTTCTCTTCTGTGTTTCAGGTGTCCTGTGGCTTTCGGTCGTATCTGAAGTGTTGTACATCATGCTGTTAGTCGTTGGGTTCAGCCTCATGTGCCTAGAGCTCTTTCATTCGAGTAATGTGATAGATGGGCTCAAGCTAAATGCCTTTGCTGCAGTCTTCACTGTGCTGTCAGGTAAGGGACCTTTCCATTCCTCAGTCTGCCTGGGACATCCAACGAAGTGAGATTCTAAAACTTCGAAAGGTTGAAAACACAGGGCTGCCGGGCTCCTCTCGGCCATGTGCGGCTCGCCCAGTTTCATTAGAGCTTTGGGAAAAGGTCAGCACAGTAGTGCTGCCTACAGCCCCCTAGAACTGAAAATATCTGGCACTAAATCCAAAGTGATGGCATGCTCGTTAATCTTCCTACACCACCAAGACTGCCCTGATTATGCCATCTATGAACCTCGTCTCTCAGCATCACCCTCCTGGTCACCAAATAGAAAACGAGAAGGTGTGTTTTTGAAAATCCTTTTTTAAATGTTCATGTTAAAAAACAAACAGAGGACTAGAGAGTGCAGGAAAAAGGAAAGGGGTCTAGCTGATGCATTAGGAGAATTAAGAAGGAGAAGCATCTTAGGAGCCACAATGGGTGAAGAAAACTTGGTGTTACCGACGGACAGCTCAGGAACAACTCCATGCACATGAATGGGGAAGTTCACGCGTCTCAGATCTATTCTCTCAGGCTGGCTGCAGATTCCAGCAGACTAAACTGTGTTGGGCTTGGTCTACACTGCAGCTGGGAGTGTGCATCCCAGCCCAGGTAGATTGATGCACACGAGCACCGTTTGTGCTGGCATGCTAAAAATAATAGCGTGGATGTTGCAGCACAAGCTGTGGCATGGGCTAGCTACCTGAGCTTGGACCCCAGGGGTCAGCCGGGCTTGCTCTCCAGCAGCTGAGCCATGCCAGTTCCTATGCTGCAATGGCCACACTGGTATTTTTAGTGTGCTAGTTTGAGCAGAGGTAGCATGAGTCTGTCTGCCCAGGCTGGGAGGCATGCTCCCAGCTGCAGTGTAGACAGAACCATTTTGTTCCCAACCATGCATTCTGGACCAGAGTGAAAGTGAGGGTCTGATGACAGCATGTGAATGCTGCAGCTGGGGTTCCTGGTATATCCCTAATATGCTTTGCTTCCCTGCCAGCTCTCAGTTTAGGGTTCCCTGAACTTGCTGGAACCCTAAACTGTGACTCTTGCACTAGGACAGAATTTGACGGAGCATCTCAGCAGGGTGAGGATGGCCACATGCTCTTGAAACATAGCATCTGACCCTGTGTGTGATTCCCTCTCACACAGCCTGTACGTGTGGGGCCATGCAAATGAAAACCAAGAAGATATGAGTGCAGGACAGCAAGCCGTCCTCTCTCTCTCGCCAATGGCCACAATGAACTCAGCAGCACTCCAGTTTGTGCTAGGGAATTTCACAGCTGTTTCACTGTGAAGGGGGAGAATTACAATATTGACTTCCTTGTTGCTACTGTGATTACAAAGAGAAAATTCCATCTTCTGGAATCCACCCTTTAAGCAAACCTGGCAGTGCACATATTTCTTTTCCCCCAGTGGCAGGGCCGGCTCCAGGCACCAGCTTTCCGAGCAGGTGCTTGGGGCAGCATTCAGAACGGGGCAGCAGTCCGTGTCCCACGGCAGCAGCTCCGCCACTCTTCCCACCACGGCGGCTTTTGGGAGGCAGCTCTGCCACTCTTCCGGGCGTGGTGGTAATTCGGCGGCGACTGCTTGGGGCGGCAAAATTGGTAGAGCCGCCCCTGCTCAGTGGTAAAGATGCTTGCACTGTCAATTCCAAACCTCCATGCTATGTGTCTTTGGAACCCTCTCATTAATCTGCCCCAAGAGCAGGAAGTAGCCACGTGCCCCCACCCCCAAGGGCTAGTAAAATACAATTTTTTCCCCCCAAACAGCCAATCCAAGGCTTGCTTATCACCAATCCTCATTGACCAACTGCTCTGTAGCCACAACTCCTCTCCCTGTCTCTGTCCCCTCCCCAGATTCTCTATCTGCTGACAACTCGGCTGTGTTCACAGCAAGCATCCCCATAAAACAAAAGCATGCTATATTATAAGAGAGACAACTTGTAGCAAGCAACGCGAGTTTTTAAATCTTATTGCTCAGTTGTACCAAAAGTTCACACTAGAAACATCAGGGGTGAGGTGTTCACCAGGGGCACTGGCTTTGGCACATTCCCACAAACTACCCAGGCAACCATAAGGTGGCTGCATAGAAACCCTTGCATGATTTTTTTTCTTTATTGGTGCATGCACAGTGCCATCCTTCCAGACTGCACATCTATGCAAGCGAAGAAGGGAACATGTTCTTAAATACCATTCACAATTTGGGTCTCTCCCCCCCCCCCCCAAAAAAAAAAAAGAAACAACCTTAGTGGGTGCCATGCACTACCTTGGGTTAAAACTGACCGACAGACTATTTTGTTCTGCATCACAGCCATAGTTTGAGCTGCAGCTTTGTGCAAAAAACACCCACCTAGAAACTTTTTGAAAACTGCTATTTTTTCAGGGCTTATATCTCCAGAACCCTTGGCTCAAATGACCCCAAATGTGGGTCATGGACCCTACTCTGCACTACCACAAGGCATAGCAAATTTCAGCATAATCTATGCAAGCATGTGTGGATTTTAGAAACATCATCCTTTAAACAGGAAGGATAGAGGGACGATGGCAGGAAAGAGCTCTTCTACACAACCATCTGCAGGAGGGGAGGCTTTGAAAGGTGGGAAGTGCCCATTCATCTCAGTGTGGTGTTCTCAGCTGAATGAGAATACCCTATGGAGATGAATACAGCCTGGAACCATAGCTCTGAGATGTGTGACCTGCAGCATTCATATCAGTGGGTATTCCCATCCTCCTTCTCGAGGCTTTAGAGATGTGATATGCATGAAATATACCCATTCTGTTTCCCACCCAAAGGGGCAGGACTTTCCCAGAGCCTGGGGGCAGAGAGAAGGCCTCAGGTCCTCCCAGAAAGGCAAGGCCCCCAAGACCCCAGCCCAGATTAAGGGGGTAGGGTCCAACCCCTGTACTCATGAACCCAGGAAGTTGAGTAGTAAATACCGCTGCCCAGCCGACCCGGAATCTGCATGGGGCATATCAAAAGTTTCTTCAGAGGAGAGTGAGAGGCTTTTCCCCACAACATCTTGGCGCCTGGGGAGAGGAGGAGAGGCTGGCATGGCTGCAGCTGGCCTGGGGCTGCTCTGGGCAGGTGCAGAGGGGCTTGGGGCTTTGGCTGGCCTGGGACTAGGGTTGCCACCTGTCTAATTGCACAAACCTGGACACCCTTGCCCTGCCCCTCCCCACGCCTTCTCTGAGGCCACATCCCTGCCCTGCCCCTTCTCCGAGGCCCCATCCCCTGCTTACTCCATCCCACCCCCCCACTTCATCTCTCGCTGTCCCTCCCACACTCACTTTCACTGGGTTGAGGCAGCTGGTTGTGGTGCGGGCTCTGGGCTGGGACTGAGGAATTTAGAGTGTGGGAGGAGGCTCCAGGCTGAGCCTCGGGCAGGGGGTTGGGATGCAAGGTATGGACTCTGGGAGGGAGTTTTGGTGCGGGAGGGGGCTCAGGGCTCTGGCAGGAGGTTGGGGTGTAGGAGGGGGTGAGGGTGCAGGCTCCGGCTGGGTGGCACTTACCCCAGGTGGCTCCCAGAAGCAACCAGCACGTCCGGCTCCTAGGCTCAAGGGCAGCCAAGTGACTCTGTGCACTGCCCCTGCCTGCAGGCACTGCTCCCGCAGCTCCCATTGGCTGTGGTTCCTGGTCAATGGGAGCTGTGGAGTCAAACTCGGGGCGGGAGCAGCATATGGAGAACCCCTGGCTGCTCCCGTGCCTAGGGGCTGCAGGGACATACTGGCTGCTTCCAGGAGCCACGCAGAGCCAGGGCAGGTAGGGAGCCTGCCTTAGCCCCGCTATAGCGCTGACTGGACTTTTAGCAGCCTATTAAAATTTCAGGGATTGGTTTCAGTAGCCACCGGGAGATGGATTCCGATTCTGGGAAACTCCTGGCCAATCTAGGAGGGTTGGCAACCCTACCTGGGACTCCAGCCGAGGGCGGGGTGCACGCTCAGTCCTCTGGCCAGCCTGGGCCTCCTCTGGAGAAGGGAGGGCCACCTGGGACTCCTCCAAGCCAGGGGCGGGGGGTGGTGGAAGACTACTTGTGGCTCCAGCTGTGGGGGAGGGGCAGAGCGTCTTGGGGGGCCATGGGTAGAAGGGGTGGAGCTGGGAGCTAGCCTTCCCTAAATGGGGGCTCAACCCACTGCACATGTGGGTGATTATTCTGTTCTTTACTATAGTTTCAATTTTCCCGTTACTGAACTTAGGTTCCTGGACTGTAATTACCAGGATTGCCTCTGGAGCCTCTTTTAAAAACCTCCATTACCTATCTTCCTGTCATCTGGTATAGAGGCTGATTTAAGCAATAGGTTACATACTACAGTCAGTAGTTCTGCAATTTCATATCTGAATTCCTTCAAAACTCTTGGGCAAATACCATCTGGCTCTGATGACATATTACTGTTTAAATTTATCTGTTTGTTCCAAAACCTCTTCTACTGACACCTCAATCTGGGACAGTTCCTTAGATTAGTCAACCCAAAAGAATGGCTCAGGTGTGGAAATCTCCCTCACAGCTTCAGTCCTGAAGACTGATGCAAAGAATTCATTCAGCTTCTCTGCAATGGGCTTGTCTTCCTTGAGTGCTCCTTAGCACCTTGATCATCCAGTGGCTCATTTTGAAGCAGGAAGCCTGCCAAACAATGTACTTAAATAATTTTTTGCTGTTAGTTTTTGTGCCTTTTGCTAGTTGCTCTTCAAATTTTTTTTTGGCCTGTTTAATTATACTTCTACACTTGAAGTACCAGAGTTTATGCGCCATTCTATTTTCCTGAGTTGGAAGTCAAATCCTATTTTCAAAAGATGCCTTTTTGCCTCTAACCGCCTCTTTTACTCTGTTTTGCCATGGTGATATTTTTTGGTCCTCTTTTTTTTTTTTTTTTTTAAAGTTGGGGTATACATTTAATTTGAGTCTCTATTGCAGTGTTTTAAAAAAGTTTCCATGCAGGTTGCAGGCATTTCACTCTTTTCACTTTGATTACATACCCCCCAGAATAAACAGCCACCCAATCTCCAACCACTCCTTTTGTTTTAGGTGGGGGTTTGTGATTAATTTATCCTTAGTTATGGTAACTGAAGGGTGGGTTCAAACCCATCAAGGGTGAGCTCAGATTCATCAAACTCACTGCGGTGTGTGATTCAGCCAATGGTTAGTCTCTCTCAGCTTAGTAGTCCAAGGCAACAGAAGGGAACTGGTTTCAGGGGGATCTCCAGGCATCAAAATGATGTCGAACTGGGATCCCTAACACTACCGTGCAGCCCATGGGGCACACCAAATTTCAAAGCAATCCAATTAACCATTTGGATTTTATAGCATTTACAAGAACCAAGCTTTAAAGCACATAAAATAGCGGGAACGGAAACCCTTTAATTTTTCTGCATTGGCCCATTCACTAAGTACAATTTCTTAAATATTGTTATCAATTTGGGTCACTCAAGGTTTTAAGTGTGTCCCATGGGTCCCTGGGTAAAACTAAACTAAACAGATTGAGTCCATTTTGACCCACATCTCATCAATAGTTTTATCTTGAGCTTTGGGCTGCCCCCAACTTAAAGCACACACAGTGCTGAACTCGTATACTGTCAATCTGTAAGTATAGTTCAGTCAACTGTTCGAATGGTGCCATGAAAAAAGACTATACATTCAACCCAAGTCTGGGTGTGGTCCCATTCCGACTGCCCGTAGATGCAGCCCATAATGCCCAGACACCTCATTGTCTGTGAGGAAAAGTATTGGTGATGGAATGGCCTTTGCTTGTACTGTGGTAGGTCACTTCACCATTGACTATGCCCTTGAATCCAGACCTGCGCCAGATCCAGGAAACAACCGTGTCTAGCCCCATTAAGGGGGTTGTGGCTGGACGTAATAATGGAATCAGGTTTCCGAAATGGATCGCCTCTTCTGCCAACGTGCAGTTTAACAGCTGTGGATCACTGCCATCCCCACCTGTTAGTCTTGTTCTGTCTCTGCATCCCTTCCAGACCTAAGGTGAGCTGCACCCAACTTGCACCTGTGGATTCTGGAGCCTCTATTAATTCAGTGTACGCTGGGTTTGCTAGGGCTACCCAGCTTCCAGTAAAAAGAAAGCTTGCCCCACACCTGGTGAAACTGATTGATGGTAGCATGCTATCCTCAAGTCTCATCGCCCTCGAATCTGTGCCTTTTTGGGTCAAAATACAAGACCACCAAGAAACCCTGCAATTTAACTTTATTAACTCACCTCACTTCCCCATCATACTTGTCATCCCCTGCTTCTTGGTCCATGATCCAAATATCTCCTGGAAGATGCAAAAGGTATGGTTCAAGTCAGACTACTGCCAGCAATGGTGTCTTGCAGAGTCAGGCAGCAAGGAATGAGAAACTAGCATGGAGAAGAAGATCACCACCTTCTGTGTCCAGCTAATTCAAGGAGTAACAGCTCACCAATCCCTGCAAAATATTGAGATTTTGCCTACATATTTGATTTTAAAAAAATGCTGATGTCCTACCCCTGCATAGGTCTTATGATTGCTCCATTGAACTTCAGCCAGGGGCCAAAATTCCATGGGATTGTTTTACCCCTTGTTGGAGCCAGAACTCCATGCCCTGTGGGAATACCTCAATGAGGACCTAGCAAAAAACTTTAACCATCCATCTACATCAACCACAGGGGCTCCAGTTCTGTTTGTCAAAAAGAGTACAGCTCTTTCATAGAATATTAGGGTTGGAAGAGACCTCAGGAGGTCATCTAGTCCAATCCCCTGCTCAGAGCAGGACCAACACCAACTAAGTCATCCCACCCAGGGCTTTGTCAAGCCGGGCCTTAAAAATCTCTAAGGATGGAGATTCCACCATCTCCCTAGGTAACCCATTCCAGTACTTCATCACCCTCCTAGTGAAATAGTATTTCCTAATATACCCTTTGCATGTTTGTGTAGACTGTCGAGCCATGAACATTACCCTCAAGAATGAATGCCCTTTACCTTTGAACACTGAACTATTGGAGAGGGTGGGCTCTGCTCAAATATTCACCAAGCTTGATCTTTGTGGTGTTTACAGTCTAGTCTGTATTCCAGATGCCAGTGAGTGGAAGACAGCATTTCACAGCCAGTAAGATCATTCTGAATACCTTGTTGTGCCCTTCAGTCTTTCCAATGCTCCAGCCACATTCTAGCACTTTGTGAATGACATCTTTAGAGATGTTCTGAAGCAGTTCGTAGTGATCTATTTAGATGACATTCTCATCTTCTCAGAAATCCCAGCCCTTCATGGCCAACATGTGTGCTTGGTACTCGAGTGTCTTCAAGCAAATGACCTGTACAAAAAAACATGAGACGTTTTATACTGCGTGTAACTTTATGCAATTTGGAACTGTCTCTGTTAAGAAGAGGTTTTTCACATATTGTGTTGGGGCAAGGCCAGATGGCTATAGAAAAGTAGTGGGAGATAGATATATTAGCTCCAGGCTAAACAAATCCCTGGTACCAGGTTAAGTGAAATGGCAGCTGCTCCAGGTCAATTAAGACACCTGGGGCCAATTAAGAACTTTCCAGAAGGCAGGGAGAATGCTAGGTTGATTGGGACACCTGAAGCCAATCAGGGACTGGCTGAAACTAGTTAAAAGCCTCCCAGTTAGCCAGGTGAGTGTGGATGTCAGGAGCTGTGGGAGGAAGTTGTGCTGTTGGAGAGACTGAGCAGTACACACCATATCAGGCACAAGGAAGGAGGCCCTGAGGTAAGGGTGAAGTGGAGCCTGAGGAAGTGGGGGCTGCTGTGGGGAAGTAGCCCAGGGAATTGTACGTGTCATGTTTCTAAAAGGTCAGCTACCATAGCCGATACTATTAGGGTCCCTGGGCTGGAGCCTGGAGTGGAGGGTGGGCCCGGGCTTCCCAGCTTTGCCCCCCCCCCGATTAATCACTGAGACTGGGAGACAACAGAGACTGTGCAAGGGAGGATAGCTTCTCCTCACTGGCTTATGATGATAATGGCTCAGTAGACTGTGACCCTTGTCTCTAGAGGGAGAGAGGTTACGTGGAGGGTCACAGTGAGCCTCTGAGGCTAGTGAAATCCGCCAGGAAATGCAGGACCAACAGAGACAAGGACAGAGCTTTATCACAATATATATATAAATTTCATGTTATGATCAGTCAGTCTCAAATACTGCACATGGTACGCTGCATTTGCATCCTTTTACTAATGAATTTCTTCCTGCCCCAAAAGCAGTCATCTACTTTCTAGTCAGTCCTCACACTGCATATCATCCTTCATTTGCTTTTGAGCTGTTGATGCTCACCTACAGTGGCCCCACAATTCCAGTCTCCACTGCCCACTTGCTAAACTTTCAAACACCTTCATGCTTTCTCCCAAGCATGGGAGAGAGTCTCCTTGTGAACGTACACCAAACTACTTCATTAGCTATCTTCAGATCCCTCCTCAAAATTCTCCTTTGCGGCGATGCCTCCAAAAACCTGGACAATGGTTGGGCTGCTGGTGTGCAGAGACCACTGCCTACCATGCTGACTAATATTGTCTCATTACCTACTTGTGCTCCCCCATCAGTCTATAGTCATCTGTCTCATCTTATACTTAAATTGTAAGGCCCTTGGGGCAAGGACTGTCTTTTTGCTCTGTTTGTACAGCACCTAGCACAATAGAATCCTGGGCCATGACTAGCACTCCTAGGTCAGTGGCTCTCAACTTTTCCAGACTACTGTACCCTTTTCAGGAGTCTGATTTGTCTTGTGTACCCCCAAATTTCACCTCACTTAAAAACTTGCTTACAAAATCAGACATAAAATACAAAGAGTCATAGCACACTATTACTGAAAAACTGCTTACTTTTATTTTTACCATAATTATAAAATCAATTGAAATACAAATATGGTAATAGAGAAGTATAAGCAAGTCATTGTCTATATGAAATTTTAGTTTGTACTGAGTTCGCTAGTGCTTTTCACGTAGCACATTGTAAAACTAGGCAAATATCTAGATGAGTTGATGTGCCCCCTGGAAGACCTCTGTGTACCCCTAGGGGTATATGTACCCCTGGTTGAGAACCACTGTCCTAGGTGATATAGTAATACATATAATAAACAAGAACAACTTCTCACAAGGGACACTTGGGGCTGGATGTTTATGATTCTTGGAAACATCACCTTGTATGAGCAACCAATGGAAGCATTCAGCTTCTGCTTGGTACCTGAATAGCATAACCAGAGAGAACCTGGCTTACAGTAGCAAGGTTGATGGTAACATTAATGTGTTGGCAAGCTCTTCAAAGGGTTTCCTTTGTACCATCAGCACTCCTGCACCGTTCAGACTGTTGTAAAATAACAAAACCTGAATGGCTCCCTTCCTCTGCCCACAATGTGCTGCCTTTTCTGCAGTGGTGCAGGGTGCACTAAGAGGGTTATTTTGCAGGAGCTTTCAGCATCTGCTGGAGTTGGCGAAGCTCCTTCAGGAAGGATAGAAAAGAAACGGGAAAAATGTTCTTATTGCCATTCCTGCTTTCCAGGCCTCTTGGGGATGGTGGCTCATATGATGTACACCCAAGTTTTCCAAGTGACAGTCAGCCTTGGACCAGAAGATTGGAGACCACATTCATGGGACTATGGCTGGTCCTTCTGGTAAGTATCTCCTTCATTTAGGATCTTCTTCTCACTCTTAAATGGTCTGATTATGGATATCAGTGCAGGGGTTACAAACATGCTTAAATCTCCAGGAAATTGTATGTGCATTTCCAAGTGCAAAAACACTCACAGTTGATCATGGACATTGGATGTACAATAACTGGGATTGCATTGGCTAGTTATAATTGCAAATAAAAATGATCTCTTGCAAGTCAATTGCAGCCACAATTACCACCACTGAAAGCAGTTCCATTGAGTGTATACATTTGAATTAGGTGCCATAACATTTCTGAAATGTTGGTCTCCTGAATTTAGGCTCAATTGTGCCTTACAGGGCAATTTTCTATAGAAGCGGCAATGCCCCTATGTGGCAGTGGGAGGCATGGTGTCTTTGGATCTCACAATAGCACCCAGGGGGAGTTTCTTGGAAGGTTTGAGGCAAATCAGACAAAACTGTTTTGGAGAGAATTTAATGTAGTGTGTGTGTGTGTGTGGGGGGGGGGATGTGGAGGCTTTGGAAAGATTCCCAAATGTATTTTGCTCATAAAAAAAATGGCTTGGCCTAGAAGCACCCTAATATGTTTTATCCTACTCTTTAGTAGAACTGGCACATTTGACTAGTACAGGAGAATTTGGAGAGTTAGGAATATTTTGATCACAGGCAGTTTTGACAACTTTCAACATCTTGCATTGTCCTGTGTAGCCTGAGGAAGGGGTTTCCTTTGTAATTTATTACATTTTATTTTTTTTATTACTGAGTAATATTTTAATTCTACTCTCCAAATCAGGCAGGTGTGGACACAATAATCCCTGCATACACCAAGGCAGGGGATTAGTGACCGTTCCACCAACACATACATCCCAAGGCAGGTGATTATTAACCCTCCAGGACCAGAGGCAGGATGTTCTTAGCCCCTCACACCTCAATACAGTTGATTAGCCCCCTCCACATTGTGAGGCAAGGGATTAGCCCTCCCCCTCTTCCAAATCCCACATTCCAATGCAAGGGATTTTTAGCCCCCCACTCCCACTGCTGGAATTAGCCCCCCCCCCCAATTGTTATACCCCACAATCCCTCCTGTGTTCCAATGCAAAGAACTATTAGCCTCCCTCACCCCCTTTCAAAGGGTTATAAGGAGGCTATTGTGGCCCCCACCCTGGTTTCAGAGCTCACCGACACTAGTTCACACTGTTAGCTACAAATTGGATGTACAGGGGCCAGCTAGTTGTGAGTGTCAGCTCAGTGATTAGCAGGAAGCAGCCTGACACAGCCATGAGGGAGAGGCTGAAGGTGCCATGGCCCAGGTCATGGTCACTGGGCATTCCCAAACCTTCACACGTTTAAAGTAAAAATCAAACTTTCAGGTTCCTAGTTGTTGATTTGTGTTATAGCTACAGCCTCCTGCCAAGCTTCCCTGAATGACTGAGAGACAGTCTCATGCTTAACAACATTTTTATCTCCATGGTAATGTTGCCATTCTGGAGTATCTCCCATCATAGGGCCACCAAGTACTTTAGAAGCATCAAATCAGTCCCAGTGCCCCGTGGAGAGGGGTGCACATCAATATTTTTATTCTGTAGTTTGGGAAACTGAGGCCAGAGCCTAAGTGGCTTCCCAAAGGCCATGCAACAAGCCAGTATCACCACTAAGAAAAGAACCCAGCGTATCAGACTCTCAGGTCCTTGCTCTGACCCTAAAACCATGTTTCTGCCTTCCAGATTAACAGACATAATTGCTAAACAGACCAGACAACTATATCTGCCTCTGGCAGTGGCCCATATGTAATGCTTTAGAGGAGGGTGAAATGAAACACACCCCACATGGCCTTCAGGCCAGTTGTGAGGTGTTGTATGTAGGGGAAAATTCCTTGATCCCTCTGGGGATCAGATGATGCCCTGAAGTGTGATTACCTCTGTCAGAAACATAAATTATATATAGGATATTTATAGCTTCCTTTTAAATACAGTTCTAGTGTTTGAGTGTCTGGCCTATACAGCAGGAAGGCCTACACCCCACTGAAGTAATACAGGAGAGGAAAGGTCATCTTGTGGCTGGGATTTAGAGGGTGGGGGTTCAGTTCCTGACTGTCACAAGCTTTGTGTGACATTATACAATTGCATAGTTTCTCATTTGATTCAGTCCCCCTTCTGTAAGATGGGGGGAATAATACTGCCCTCTCTCAAATGGGAGCGGTGTGAAGTGCTCAGATAGTATAGCAATGGGGATGTATAGGTAACTAGACTAATTGCAACCAGTGTTATGGAGGTGCAGGTCATGGCAGCATAGTTAATATTGAGTGGAGTTTTGCACTTAAAGCAGGAATTGGAATTCAACTTCCTAGTTGTATTTAAAAATCAGTTTAATTTAATCTAGGACCATACATACTCAAGTAAGATTAATTTATTACATTGCTGCAGGGAAAAATTAAGGTTGTTTGGGTGTCAGCTGCACATTTCCAGGTCTTATCCTGTCTGGATTTCTTTTAAATGCAACTTTAACTCAGAATTTCCAACATTTTTCAGGTGTTGATTTCATGAAAATTAAGATCTTCAGGTATAGCTCCCACAGCTACATTGCAATAAAAAACCCATGTACCAAATCTCAGAACCCAGGTCAGCTGACTCAGCCTCCTAGGGCTGGGCTGTGGGAGCTAAAAAGAGCTGCAGAGACATTCGGGCTCAGGCTGGGCTCTGAGGCCCTGTGCAGGAGTGGGTGGGTCTACACTGCAATTTTATTGCCCCACAACCCAAGTCAGTGAGCATGAGTCAACTGACCCAGGCTGTCTGCATTGCAGGTCCTTTAGTGCAGTGTAGACATACCCAGAGAAACCTGCCTCCTGCTACCCTATAGCTCAGTGTAGGAGACTCCAGTTCAAATCCCACTCCCACATTAGACAGAGGAGGGAGCCAAACTGGGGTCTCCCACAGCCCAGGTAAGGTCTCTAATCACTGAACGATAAGGTGGGCATCACCTCTTCCTACTGCTGTTTTGTGAATAGCACTGAAGTCCCAAAAATACAAATAAAAGCCTGAAACCATTCAATGAATTCATATCACATTCATGAATAGTTTTAGGTCAACTGAAACTGCATTTCTGGGGAATAAACTATTCATTTGAAAAATTTCACCCCACTCAACTGTGGCATCCATGTTACCAGACAGGACTTCTCATTGCCAAGGATAAGAATCGCAGCCCAAGTTATCCTGCTTTGCATTATGGAGATCGGGCTGAATGAATAATAGTGGTTTAGTTCAAAGGCCAAAATGAAAAAACAAACCCACACCTATTTCAGGTTAAACAAAACATTGTTTGATCTGAAGTGAAATTTTTGGATTTTCAGTGTGTTAACCCTACACCAAAATGTAATTTTTTTTAAAAAAAAGCCAGCTAAAATTCTTAATGTCATTTCAAATTAAAGTCAAAACATTCTGAAAATGTTTTGATTTTTTTATTCAGCTGAATCTATTGCCCCAAACTTGTGAATAGTTTTGTTTGACCAAAAATATATTTTTTTTTTTGGTGAAGCTGTTGGCTGAACCAAATAGTCTAGCTCTAGTCAGAGTTCTTGAAGTAAAATGAGTCAAATCTGTTGTAGCCATGTTGGTCCCAGGATGTTAGAGACAAGTTGGGTGAGATCATTTATTGGACCAACTGCTGTTGGTGAAAGACCAGCTTTTGAGCTTAGAGATCTTCTTACATCTTTGTTACTGCATCCATCTTCTCTCTTTAATATGTTGGTCATTCCTGACCACGCTCCATTTACATGTGTCTCTTGCCTCCAGAAACCCAAGGTGGGCTGCTGTCTTAACCCCGTTCTGTCTGCTGGTTTTTCTTTCCACAGTCTGGCGTGGGGTTCTTTCACCTGCTGCATGGCTGCCTCAGTCACTACATTGAACTCTTACACTAAGACTGTAATTGAGTTCAGACACAAGCGCAAAATCTTTGAGCAGGGCTTTCGAGAGGAGCAGACCTTCCTAGACCAGGAGGCAATCAAGTACTTCAGAGAAAGGTCAGTGCAGTCAGTCTCTGGGTCAGGGAGGTTTTTGTGGATTCTACTGCTAGCCTCAAAGTCTGGGATCTCGCCCACCTCAGTAGATCTAGGTGGAGTCTGAGATACTTGGAGAAGAACCATGTTAAAGAGAAGCCCACAGGATTCTGCTTGACTAGTGTTTTTTCTTCAATGTTGTGAAGTCCCCCTGTATGCCACTTCTTATATACTCATTAAAGGCGGACTGGCAAGCTCCCAATGGCATGTGTCTGATTTGCAGGCGATGTTGCAAATGGAAGCAAAGACTTGTCTCCTAGTGTGTGTAGCCTGAAAGTCTTACATCAATGCTCAGTGTTTGGTGAAAATGACATTTTCCCTTTGCCTAAAGGAAGCTGCCCCTGCTCTGGGAGCATCTACTTGCAAAAAGCCATTCAGAATCTAGGCAGTACAGATGCTTCTCTGGAAATGGGCTCAGTCCCGCTGGAATGAGGTGAAAATGCTTGGGATTCAATGACATGATTGGCTTCAATTTGAAAATGTGTTCTCCATTGCAACAGACAGACATTGTGCTCTGACCCAGTGTCAGAAATGTGCAGCTTTTGGGAGTAGGGACAACTGCATACTCCACCAGCCTCTCCCCCTGGAACACAGACCCCTACATTATTCCACATCCTCCTTGAGACACACACTTACCACCAGTCACCCTCAGCTATGCATGTGCACACAGAACTGGTCCTCCTTGCCCTGTACACACACCTCACCTATCAACCCTACCACTTGTGGGCACAACCCACCTGCCATTGACACACCCCTGCCACATGCACACTTCCTCCTAAGAAGGATGAAGTCATCCCCCCTACTTCCCCAGCATGTGCACCAACCACTCAGTCTCAAACACATGAGCACCCACAACAAATACTTTATTCCCTTGCTGCCTGCATCCACTGCCCATCTCCCAGTCTCCACACTCCATGCTCACATATCCACAACTCACCTGGCCCCACCACACACACAGCCCCCCTTCCCCTGCATACTAACACACACCCTGTCCTCCTCCACATATACACAAGCCACCTATCCCCCTCCAACACACACTTTTCCTCCACACACACTCGTCTTTACCCATAAACATATGCACCGATCCCCCTCCGCTAGTGGGCCTGCTGCCTGTTCCTTCGACACACTGCTCATCCACATTACCCCACCCATCTATAAACCACACCCCCATGCTCTGCAGCCTTCCTTGCATACACCCACTGCTCCTCCTAGCCATACCCCACACATCCTATGCATCCTACTTACTGCCTACAAATCACATCCCCTCCATATCCACTACTCAACCCCCTTCACACACCACCACCCATCCTCCCCATCCCCACTACCCATCTCCCTCCATACACAACCACCCACAGCCCCATTCTTGCAAGCACTCTCACAGCCTATCCTCTTCCAGTAATACACACATTACCCCACAAGTACACACCAGCCTGCCATTCTGCTACATATGCTAACCGTCCCCTGCCATCTTCTCCACACACTCCCCCCACAAACCACCCATCTCACATATTCACATGCCACCCAACCCCCTTGCAAACACACTGACCATACTGCCCCCTCACATCACCCAACACAAGCTTCCCATATTCCCTCCCCACACTGCTCATCCTGGCCACAAATCACACATCTGCCTACATGTACATGCACTACCCATCACCCCCACCCAGACATTCTCCCCCCCCCCACACACTGTACTCCCACACCCCCTACCCATCCCTTACATACCAAGCATCCCCCTCAACACATCACACAACCCTCCACAAAACTCTCCTCACCCTTGCACACACACCACCCATCCCCATATCAGACCCACTACCATACACACACACACCTGTCAATCCTCTACACTCCAAATACACACCATCCACACACAAAACCTGCCCCCCAAACAAGTATCTTTCCCCACTCACATACACTGCCTATTCTCCATATACATGCCAATCAGCTTAGGCGCATAGCACCTGTTCCCCTACACCCACTGACCACTGCACACCATTCGACCCCCTTGCAAACACACAAATACCACACTCCCCCAAACAAATATCACCCTTCTCCCAACATACAGTGCTCATTTCCCCTCCCAAACACTGCCCTTCTTCCCCACACAAACCACCCATCCCATTCCAACATACCACCCAACCTCACTGCCTAGCCTCTCCTCCAGACACACTCCACTCATATGCCATATGCATACTTCCCTCACCCTTGACACACTTCCCACCATCCCCACATATCACCCCCAAAACACACAAGCCACTCCTACCCCACACTCATAGCACCCATTATTCCCACAGCGCATTCCTCCTCACACACTGCCCATCCCCCTGCATGCACATCCCACACATCACCCTTCACACACGTGCTGCCCATTCCTCTGTATGCACCCCCTCATGTCACCCCTTCACATTGCCCAGCTCCACCCACCTACAAGTTTCCATTCCACCCTCACATACCCATTGCCTGTCCCCTAGGTGTGTAGGGCTCATTCCCCTCCACACACCCCACCTCTCTTCCCCAGTGTCCATCCCCCTGTATGCAGACTGCCTACCGCCTCACACACAACTCCCTACACACACTGCTCATCCTCCCCACAAACACCTCTCACCCACACACAAAGGTCATGCCCCTTCACACATGCACACACAGCCCACCCTACCAATCCTCCACACACACGCTGCCTATCCCCTGGCATGCACACTACCTATCTTGCCCCCCCCCCCCCAGCAAACACTGTCCCTTCCCTCACACATGCTTGTTTGCCCCACACACTACCCCATCTTCCTCACACATTCATTGCCTGCCCCACCCCCACAGTCCTCCCAAACTCATCCATTGCCCATCCTCCTTCCGCCCACTTCCTCCCACACACCCTCACCAACATGTATTTTCACGTTCACACCCATCCTCCCCACACATCTCCCTGCACAAACATATTACCCCCCAAACCACCCATTTCCCCACCAAACCACCACACATCCTGCGGAGACAGACATCCCTTGCCCCCACTTCCCAGCATATAGGCATTGCCCAGCTCCCCTGCACACACAGGTCAGCCATCATCCCCCTTGCAAACCATCCACATCCCCTACAGTCCTACTTCGCTCAACCCCATTGCAAACACAACCCATCTCCTCCCCTCCCCACACAGAGCCCATCCTTCTCCCACACTGAACCTGCCCATCCCCTTGCATGGGCATCATTCATTCCTCACAGATCACCCCCATTCCTCACCACAAACACACAGTGCCCATCTGCCACACACTACTCAGGCAGACACATGCACTGCCCCTCCCTCCTTCCACCAGTCCATTGCCCATCTCCCCATACCCTCACAGCCCCTCCCTTGTCATGCTTGTGGCCGATGAAAAATCAAAGGAATTCATGTGCCAGTGTATCAGCTCCCCACATAGATCAGCAGCAGGGTTTAATCTAGATACACAGCACAGACTGCTACCCCTTGCGTTAAGAGTAACCACATGAGGTGGCAGCAGAGGTAGGTTGTGATCATTCATAGGTCAGCTGCTATAGAGAATGCTGACTCACACCAAACAGTATCAGGAGAGCTAAGTGACCAACTGTGGGTTGAGCAGATGCAATCTATCAGAACTGCCAGCTAGCAAGGAGCATCCCCAACCAAGTAGCAACACTGAGCAGACTTGAGTAGCTGCTTTCATTAGCAACCTATAGACCTGCCTTGGCCACCTGGCTGGACTGTGGATTGGCTGGACACTTAAAACTTGGAGCTAATTTTTTCCAATGACTCATGAGGCTCAGCACACTCAGTTGGTTACATATGTGAGAATTTCCATTTTACATACAGCATGGACAAGCGCATAGATTTGGCAGACTTTCTGAAAAGTAGGGTGGCTCATTGGCCAAGATGGAAGTCCGTCGTGGGAAAGCTAGACTCTAGTCCCAGCTCTGCTGGAAGTGACCTTAAAACATCTGTATTCTATCTGAAATTGCAGGAATACCTGCCTTCCCCCTCAGATAGGGCAAAAGGCCTTGCTCAAAACAAAAGCAGCCTAGAAATATTGATGTCAGTCAGTGAAGGAGATGAGATATGAACTAGTCTCCAGATTCCCTGCTCAGTGTACCTTTCATTAGCTTAAAAGGTATCTGGAGGGGGAAGCTAACAAACAGGCTGCTCAGCAAGGCATGGGAGCACACGTTTAGAAGTTGTGCACCTTCCCATAGGTGAAGAGATACTGATGGCAGAGAGCAGGAGGGGAATGAGCCATTTTTGTCCTGGCTGGAGGCATAGTTCTTTCCAAATGCTGGAGATGCCTCAGCAGGGCCAGGCAGCATGCTTAATGCAAATGGACTGTTCAGAGATTTTTGGCAGCAAACCTATGACAACTTCTACTCAGCCAGTACAAATGGTGATTTTTTGAGGCTTATAAATTGGCCACATTTAGTTATTAGAACAGTAAAAGGCCCCTCTGACATCAATTTGCAAGACAATTTACAAGCTCCAAAAGGTGCTAGCTCTTTTTAAAAAAAGTCATTAAAAAGTTAATGTTGTCAAATTAAATTTTGGTGAGTCTTCCCAGGAAAATTCACCCTGAGGTAGAGAGCAAGAATGGAACATTTTTGCCTGAACTGTTAAAGTGGCAGAATTATAAGTGATTAAAAATGGGATTATAATAGGAAGTGTTAAGCAATTTTATATAGCATCACTACTAGTCCTTCCTGCATGATAAGCAGACCAAGTGAGTTGTATAGCAGATTAACAATTCTAACCCTTGCATGTTTGTTTTGATGGTGCTTTTTATCCCATTTGTAGCAGAACATTAGCAATATTGAACTTTCCTTAATGCTCAAAGTTCCAGGGTCGCTGTTTCTCCCTCTCCAAAATCCAAGTTGCTTCTAGTTTGTGGAAGGAAGCAATAATCTAATCTTTTAAAAAGATTGAATGAGTGGGACATCTCTTGGTGTGGGGAACCCCTTGCTGTAGGTATTGC